TACGACTGCTGCTACTGCTACTGCTACTGCTACTACTGCTACTACTGCTACTACTGCTACTACTGCTACTACTGCTACTACGACTACTACTACTACTACTACTGCTACTACTGCTACTACTGTTACTACTGCTACTACTGCTACTACTGCTGCTACTGCTACTACTGCTACTACTGCTACTACTGCTACTACTACGACTGCAACTGCTGAACAAACAAACAGTTCATGGTGCAGTGCATCAACGCGGCACAACTGCCCAAGAAGGAGCATCCTACCATGTGCAAGATGGTCCTGCTACTGTAACTGTGGTAGTATTGCTGGATGCTGAAGTGTGACTACAAGCTGGAATCCGCGTGCTGGGCAACAACTGAATTGAACTGCATGGGCCTTCATTTTCAGTTTCAGGTTTCTGAACTGGTGTCCGCATCCGAGCGAACCTTGGATCTGCAAAACCCCCTTCGGCATGAAGTTGCACAGCAGTCTGGCACACCTTTCTCCAGCTTCTGCCCATGAGTCTTTCTTCGAGGTCTGGTGGGCCCGCTCTAGCGTCCTCAAAAGAGCACGCGGCTGTTAAACACAAGCGCTTCAAAGCGAACCCTTATCCCCGAACCCTAAACCCAATAAGTCCCGAGTTAGAACAACTGTTAGCTTGCTTCACTAAAGTAACCAAAGATGCGGTGCTGCGCCAGAGTGACGAGGTTTCTGGGAATTCCTCCCTCCAGGCCGGAAATTCCTCTGCCCCAGGGTTCAAGTGAAAGCCAGAAACATCGCGGTTAACGTTTTAAGATTTAGGGTCTAGGCTTAGGGGTTTAGGGTTTGGTAGTCTCGTTAACATTCTACATGACTGCTGCGACGACGATTTGTGCTGAAGTCTGCTACGATGATTGCATAACAACAGTGTCTAGATGTATCTTGTTATCGGCCCTCGTCTTGATGCGGCAACGGAGACTTTTAAGTACTTTTAAGCCTAAGCTTAAATACTGACACGCCGTTGCGCTGGTCAAGATTCTCGAACCCTGGCTGGACCCACCACGGGTTCCACTCATCGATGTGTTTCCGAAGCAGTCCACATTTTAAACACAAACTCGCAGCGTTCACAGCTTGCGCTGAACCCGGCATCCCCCTCCCCGTGCGGTTCGATTTGGCGCGTCGGGGTGAGAGCCGGTTGGACATGAAGAGGACGTGAAGACTGAAACTATCTCAGGTGGTGAAGCAGCTGGTTCGGAAAAGCAGATGGCATGAAGCCTCGCTTAGAACATCTACTGCTGCCACTAGGGCAAGAAAGTACGGCAACTAACTTTGCTGGCTCTAGGAAGCAAACTCGCAGACTCAAATTAGGGAGTTTCCGGAGACTAAGGTAGTAGCGGCTAGTAGCGCCTAGCTGGTAATCGTCATCAGCGGGCCATCGCCATCCCCCATCATGATATGTCTTGGACACGACATTCAATCCAGCAGGCTCCCCGAACCCGAAATCTCCCAAAACCCCCTAAGCCCCATGGCAAACCCTAAACCCCCCTAAGCCCCCTAAGCCCTAAAGGCCCCCCTCCCGAGGCTCATGCCCTGAGCTGCAAGATCCCACCACGCGTCATTCATCGACGTCTCTTCGCTTTGGGATTGTTCTAGAATGAGGCCTTTGGTATCCTCAACAGAGAACGCGATTGTCAACAAGAGGTGCTTCAAAAGGAACCCTACCCGAACCCCTGAATTCTAAGCCCTCTTAATCCCATCCTAGAACAACCTCCAACTCACTTCACTAAAAATGCGTTGCTGCATCAGAGTGACAAGGCTTCTGGGAATTCCTCCCTCCAGGCCGGAATTTCAAATTGCCCAGGGTTCATGTGCATTAATGATACTAGAAATAGTCGTTCCTGATTACTACTTCGACGAAGATCGTCTTGGAAAGGGGCCGCTATCATTGCATGACAGCAGTATAGGGTCATCGGCTCTGGTCTTGACGCGACAACGGTGAATTTCCAGCTTAAATACTGACACACCGTTGTGCTGGTCAAGATTCTCGAACCCTGGCTGGACCCGCGAGCCTAATCCAAAAGCAGTCCAATGCTTAAACACAAACTCGCAGCTCTCATAGCTTGCGCTTTAGCATGCCAACCCCCCTCCCGGCCATTTGGGTTGCGGCTGAACTTCTTTGCCGGTCCCTCTGTCGCTTCGAGAAGTGCGGGTTGGACATGAAAAATGAAAGTGGCTGAGGTGGTGAAGCAGCGCGTTCGGAAAAGCAAATGGCATGAAGCCTTCTTCATCTGAAGCTGCGAGCTTAACATTCCTAGGGCAACAACAAGGGTCATGACTTTCTGTTTCATGAACTCCCTACGTCAACTGACGCCGATTACAGTGGGAAGCGAAACAGGATCAACAACCTGCGATCATGGAAGCTGAGCGGTGGAATAATGACGAAGTGCTAGGGAGGCTAGTGGTGATGGTAAGAGTAGAAGTGGTGGTGGTAGTACAGCAGCAATTAGTAGCAGTTGTTGTTATTGTTGTAAAAACTAGCTAGTCGTGGCACTAGTAGTAGAAGCAGTAGAGACAGCAGTAGCAGCAGTAGCAGCAGCAGCGCTAGTTAGTAGTCGTCATCGTCGCAGCCGGGCTCGTGATCCTGATCTGGTAGCAGTTGCTGTCGCCATAGTCGTAGTCGAAAAGCAAAGGAGCAATTGGTAGGCGTCGTCGTCGTAGTCGTAGCAGGAGCCGTGGTCATAGTCGTAGTAGTAGTAGTAGTAGTAGTAGGAGGCGTAGCAGCAGCAGTAGCAGTAGCACTAGCACTAGCACTAGCGGTAGCAGTAGTAGCAGTAGCAGTAGTAGCAGTAGTAGTAGTAGTAGTAGTAGTAATAATAATAACAATAATAATAATAGTCGAAGAAGCACGGGCATCAATCAAAAACATAGATGCCATAACAGCACTCATTGTGGCAATGTAGTCATGGATGGCAAGAGGCCATACTATAGTGGCCATATAGTTCTAACAATGACGCTAACAGTGACGACGGACGGCAACAGTGGCTATACGTGTCCATGCACACAGCAGAAAGTTCATGCAAACACAGCGCAGATGCCCAGACAGAAGTTCAAGCGGAACAGTGCTGATGGACGCAAATGTAACGGGAGGCAAGTTCGCCAACATCACCAACATGAGCATCATCACCTTTATCCTCATCGTCATCTTCCATTTTCGGTGCCGAGACAGAAGATGTACTTATCAGTGGGCCAACGTCTTACATATTTCATGATAAAGGGGCTGGGACACACCGCCTCAACAACTCACCAGTAGAACAAATGATGTCGTGAAGTCAGACTACTCCCTTAATGAACCGTTTCCTGGACTGGCTCATGCCCGGAGCTGCAACATCTAAGCACCACTTGCATGTGGAGTTTGAAGTCAACTTCCATGGCCCTGATGCAAGCAGAAGAACCCCTGTAAATGGGAAGCACTACTGCTGGCGAAAACAGCGTACATTGACATTAGCAATACGTAGCTATATCATAGTACGGGCCGGAGCGTAAAGCATAGAATTCTCACTCCCGGTAGTACGGTAGGAGAGGACAGCATTTAGACGTCCAAGCTATCCGCGCAAGGGCGGAACAACAGGATGTACTCCAGTGACCCTCCTACACTGAAAACCTTCAAAGGCTGACAGTGCGTCGATTGCACGCCCGGTTCTTGCAAACATGCCGGGTGGCAAGTGTTGGTCCGTCCACAGCCCCGTCGTCACCCAACAAAAATTCACCCGTACCTCAGATACACACGTTCAGGTCCGAAGTCACTGAGCTGCATGATACACATACTCACCAAGTCAATTCACAGCCGTCTGTGGAACACGAATGCACAAAAAGATGCTAGCGCCTGGTTGCTGGTGTCTCTTGAAGTTGCGCTGTCAGGGGTTGCAAGCCCATCGCATTTCCGGCGTGCTGCAATCATCTTCTCCAACCGCTTTGGATTCTGGTCAACTTTTGCCAGGAATTTCTGCAGCTTTGCTAGGTGACCATCGTCGCAGCTCTGGCGATGCTTCTCATGCGCATGGGGCATGGTGGGCAAAGCCTCGACTGCATTCGAGGCGGTGTTGTGTGCCGTATGTTCTCCATGCGCATGGGGCTTGGAAGGCGACGACATGGCACTGTGCCTCACCGGTCGACCTCTATGTCTGGGCCGAAAAAACTGCCGCGGTTAGAGCCACCTACCAAGCCACAACCCAGAACTCGGTTAGGTGCGCTGCGCCTGAAGGTTAAACTGCATGTGCTACCGTTCATTACCACAACATGTACCGGGCAGAAATGTGTGCAAGCAAATGCAGGTGCTCAGCAAGCACGCTGGCAGAATACGTGCCAACATATACAAACATAGACAAACGAGGTAAACTTGTCTAATTACCTTATTTGCATTTTGACGGTGCCTATCCGTCCGCAGACCTGCCTTCCAGCAGTTGCGAGTTTTTTGGGGCATCTGAATACACTTGCTGTGCAACTGCATAAGCCCGTTCCTTCTAGGGGGTCTAAGGGGCCTTAGTTTAATTGGAATAGGGCTTCGGGGTTCCTTATTATAATTATATCATAAGGAACTGTTGGGCTTCCTTATTTTACGGCTATAGTTTAAAGGAACCCTAATTATTAAGGCCCCCCTATATCAAGCCGGCCTTCTTGAGCTCATCTCTCAGAGTGTGGTTGCCTTCCTGCGGGCGTTGAGAAGACTGGGAGCTCGGCCGACAATGGGTTTTTTCCCTTCCACTTAGGGTTTTTTCCCTCTCGCATAGAGGGTTTAGGGTTTAGGGTTTCGATAATGGGTTTAGGGTTTAGGGTTTGGGTGTAGGGAGGATTCTAGATATAAACCACAAAAAGGAGCTACTTAGGGGCCTATGGGTAGTTTGGGGCCTTCAGAAAGGGTTCCGCCAAGAGGGTCTACAAGAGTGGCTATGAGGGTTTGGCATAATAGCCTTAATAACTGGGTTCCAGTAAGGGTTCCTTTAAAAGGGTTTGTATAAGGATTGTTCGGATTTAATCAGGGGCCGTAAACATAATAGGATAAGGCTCAGGTGAACATTTACTGTACATATATCAAGGAATAACATATTCCTACGAATTCAAGCCCCTCAATTTGGGCTCCTAATCATAAGCCCCGTTGGTGAGAAGCCCCAAATACGGGATCCGTCGTGACTCAATGAAATGCTTAGGACAAGGGCTCCTGAGTTGCGGCTCTACATTACATGCTGCGGAGGAGGCCTCGGCTGACATTACCGCGCGTTAGGTACACGGAAGCTAGTAGCCCGATCCGAGAATTGCAAGCACCACGCTTCCTCGTGGACATGAAGGGGAGTCCTAAGAGGTCTGTAGCCCCCCTGACTCGCACAGGACATAAGCGCAATCCATGAAGAGCTGCATATCTGCACATATAGCTCCTTCTGCCGACCCAGGATTCAGAAGCCTGTTAAACCAGGTTTGAAGATGCTCCCTGACTACACCCCGAGTAGATACTTCTTGGCCCCGGCATGTGCAAGAGGCATCCTTGAGATCGATGATGTGCTGAATTTTCTGCCTGCGTGGGTTCAGACATGGAAGACCCCACCAACACGAAACCCTTCGCACGGATGTCGTCTTCCGGAGCCGACATCTTCCCGGTTTTTTGGAGGGCTGGGTGGGCTGTAGTTTGGCTCGGCACGAGCTCTAGAACAAACGTGCGTCCCAAACTGGCCCTGTGGACCTTGTCGCTGAAACTGCGGAACCTTGTGTGCATCTGACAAACCAAAGACCCATCGGTCGAAAGCTCGGGTTGGAGGCTCACCTTAGTCCCTGAACCGTGTGGTCTATGTAAGTCTATGTACGTTGAAGGCCGGGCTTGCCTGCATATTGCTTGGTCTGCGAGTTTACGCAGGGCTGCAACACCAACAGCAGCACCAAATTCCCGCATAGATACGGTAGTTTAATTTCATCATCATGATAACGATAGTGGTCCAAATTGTGGGGGTGATGCTGTTGCGCGGTTCAATCTACCAGTGTCAATAACTATGACAAGACCGCCGTGTGAACTAGGCTGGCGCCGCCGATGCTGCTGCTGATGATGAGGAAAGTGGCAGCAGTGAGGTGGTGATTGCTCTTGCAGCTACCTAAATAGTGGGTTACTAACCATATATTATGTACCCCTGTAACCTACTATTTAGGTAACTGGAGCCCTAGGGGAAAGCTGCCAGTCTTTTCGGCATGAACTCCTCCGCAGCTGCTTGTTCCGACATCCTGGCAGGTGCTCACTGAAGGGAAAAAGCACGTCCGGCCCTTCTTCGAACTGCGCCCCGTGGGCTCAGTCGGCGGTTCTATTGGGGCTTGTGCTGACGAGTGACCTCAAGCTACGCCTCCGAACCCTTCTTGCAGTAAGCTCGAAACCCCAGATCCTAAAGCCCACAAACCTCTGATACCTGAAGATAGCTATTTTAGGGTGGTCATGGCGGCCGAAAAAAATTCTATCTAGACAATGGTGCCACAACAAGTCAAGGAACGGCAGCCCTCGCAAACCGATACCTGACCCCTAAACCCTGTCAGCTTCAAATAGTTTCACAGACTGGCAAGCCCGGAGACAAGTCCGGATTTCGGAGCGTCTCAGCAAGAATCTCCAGGCCAATCTCCGCCACGACCTGGGTTTAGGTTTCGGCGCTCACACCCGGACAACCCAGGTGAGGCATGTGGTCTTGAGTCGGCGAAGTGGAACCTGCTAACGAGAGTATGCAGTCCTCCCCCACACCAAAGTCCCGTCGTTGTAGTTGTATCCAGTTCAGGACTTCAGAGACTCTACAGACATCCACAATGATCACTGCAGAGGGTTAGGGAAACAAACTCAATTCAGGAAAGGAATGAGAGTGCTAACACTCATGAGCGCACCACTAACAAGAGACCAAGAGGGTTTCAGTAGTTACAAATACCATTTCTGAGGGTTTCCGATTGTACCTATACTAGAGTATATACCCCAAAAATCCGCATTCTAATTGTTAAGGCCCTGGACAGGCACAGGCAGCCTGACTTCGGAGCGGTCTTAAAGCATTTTCCAAACAGTTGGGAGTTGTTCGGAGCTGCGACGCGCTCCCGCACCCTCACGCCGAAACCCAAAAGCCTAAACTCCGGCAGTGTCGGAGCTTTATGAGCAGAGGCAAGGGTCCTGAACCTCAAGTTTGTGTTCTAGGCTTGGGCGGCGTTCCCATTGTTGCATGTTTTCATGCCTCACTCGTCGACTGCATCATGACTGTGGGGGATTCGCTTGACAAGCTGAAAACTCAGGCCAAGCACGGAACAGGCTCAACAAACTTCTGAGACAGCACGAACGAATACCGCACAGGTCAGTAGTGATGCATGCAAAACTGCAGCCTGCAAGAAAAATTCATCCCTGGACCCAAAACTTGGCCCTGAACCCTCCCTAGACCCTTAAATGTCGTACCTTTTATTGGATGACCTATTTTCTGGTTAGGATCCTATAATAAGAAACTAAGGTAACCAACAAAAAGTACTACATTTAAGGGTCCAGGTCGTTTATCCAAGTCCCCGTCAGTTTCTGCCACCACTGCAGCTGCTCCGCCCTTTTCCCGGGCCGCCGAACCTCAGTCGGCTCCAAAGCCACATCTACACACGAGCATGGTAGCATGTGCTAGCCTTTCGCTACTCTGATGCTCAAAAGACGAAGGCCAAATGCCTAAGACGATGGTGATGTGCTTGCGATGGTATGCATCGTCGGAGAGACCTTGCCAGAGTCCAGAACCTCACATCGTAAGGTTTGGACGCCCCTCCTTTTCATCATCATGATCACTTACACGAATTTCTTAACTACCATCACGGCGAGCACTACTGCGCAGCGCTACCGGTACTAAGGGTCAGCACGCGGCTCGGTAGAACGCTAATTCTCAAAAAAATGTCAGTCTTCATAGCTGAGGTTGTGCCCAGACCCTACACCTAAGCTAAACCCATCCTACTGGATTTTCAATCTTGACAACTTATTCTTCCAGGCGCCTCGCGAGGTCTGGACCTGTGTGGCAGGGCAAGTATGGGAGTCTGTCAGCAACCAGGGTTTTAGAGCCTCTTGGGTTTGGGACTGCATAAACGATGAGATCATCTCCGAACCCCCAACTTTGGCCTACCCATAAGTAGTTCCTTTTTGGGATTACCTTATAGGATTCTAAATATAAACCATAAAAAGGAACTACTTAGGGGCCTATGGGTACACCCCTAAACCAAGCACCCTGGGCTTCGCGCTGATGGCCTGCACCCCCTGCAGACTGGAGGCATCCTCTCAGCTTCGCTCTGCAAGGAACTCCAAGGGCTTTCGACACGAACCCTCCGCATTTCTGGAACTTCACGGGTTGCTTTTCTCTCCTTGTGGATGGTTTTCTTGCAAGTAGGGTTTTTTTCTTCCCACGCAAGTGGGGTTTAGAGTTTTGAGGTTTGACGCTTGGGGTCGGGCTCGGGGGGGAAGATTGCAGGGCTCTCGGCCAAGCATCAACAGGGAGGCTGCTACCCGAATTCAGTTCGATGAAAGGTTGCACGCTCTCAATGCCGGAAGCACTCACACTTCAGGCCGCTGCCGTCGAACAGATAAACGACAAGCACCCAAAACCCTGAAACGCTATAATTATGGTTCATACTGGGCCGGAGTCACACTTGCAACATCTTGCAATTCAAATACGAGTTTAGATTCCCAGTGTTCCCTCTCTTCTATAAAACTGGGAGGAGGACATTGATGTTCTTTCAGTTTTTCTTGCCATTCCTTTCATGACATACAGCTTATAAGGTGATAACAGAATGTCGAGTTTGGAGGTTCATGGGGTTTAGGGACTGGAGCAACACCTGAACATGTGCAGAATTTTGAAAAACTGGCGATGCGAAGGGAATCGGCCAGCGAAGCGGTACTCGCAAGGTGCTGCACGATTCTGATCGCCACCTGCACCTAAACCTTCAACCGGTCGACCCTTTTAAAGCAGGAAGTCCGGAACCCAGCAATCATCAACACATAAATACGATGCGACACATCGCAAAGGACGGCCCGTGCCTGGATGAGTCTGGCAAGTGTACGCCGAGGAAAGGTCGGTCTCCGTTTTTTGTCGAACAGAAGCACAAAATGTGCCACAGAATGTGCCGGGATGCAGG